GATGAACTGACCCCAACCCCTATTCCACACTCAGGGGGAGGCAGTAGAGAAATCGGGAGTAAATTTAAGCCCAAGAAGAAGGGAGGGGTGAGGGGAAGGTGTTTTGAGATTTAATTTTTATTTTCTCATTACCCTACTCTGATTTTGATTGATAATAAATTAAACTATATAAATTCCCCAAGTCGAGTCTGTTTTGCCAGTGACGGTAACTGCTGAGTGATCTCCCTGTCCTTGTCTCGACCCAGGAGCCTTTCCTTATATTTTCTCTACCCTGTCCAGCTGAGGAGGGGAGCGATAGAGAGTAGAGAGGCTTTGGTGGGCACTTGGCATCCAGCCAGGGTCAACTCACCACACTATCTAAAAATGATTTTATAATTACAGAGTTATATTACTTAGTGAAGTGAAAGGTCTTTTCAGTAGTAAACAAATGTATTCACAGTAAGGAATCCAAGTATCTATACATGCTCATAAACAGGCCATCCTTCAATATGATATCCGTTTTTTAAGACACATGCACAATAGTCTGCCCTATTTCTATCCTTATAGCAATACACACAGCATGTTTTACTTTTTAGGAATCTGTTTAAAGTGTATTATTCTTATTTTTCATATGCAAGTACATAGATTCACTTAATTTGAATGATTTTATTCTTCTTCTACCTACCTGCCTCTGGAGTTCTGCCAAGTTGTAAGGTAATGCACCTTCAGCCAGTGGTGCTATTCTCTCAATATCAGCCAAAGTTAAGCGCCTTTGCAGAAGGCAGAGAAAAGCAAACTACTGTTAGATAAAACATCAAACATATTCAATACAGTATTCCTGGCCACACCACACAGAATACATCCTGAGTTTAAAAAAAAACACCTGTCATATTTGCATGCACATCTAAGAAGTCTGCTACACTGCAATAAAGAACACTTGGAGTTAGAAGTGCATTCTCTTCTTGTAGTTCACAAATGGAAATAAAGGGAGCTTGGATTCTTCAGAAGCAAGTGCCTGATTGCTAGTAATAAGAGACATAATACACGAATTAAACTATTTCTAGGTATTCCTACCGAAGATTTCACATGTGTTCAAGACCCATGCAAAGCATCATCAATACTTAAAGTTAATAATACCAGTGTATTGTAGTCTTTTGGGACTGTTGTAATGTATTTTGCTATTTTATATGTATATCTATAATATGACAATTAATAGTCATATTCTATAATAGTCAAATATCTATAATAGACAATTAAAAGTCAGTTTACATTGAATGAATTACTGTAATGAAACACAATGGAACAAATCTTTTTAAAATTAAAATGAAAATTAGTAGTTTTCACACAGAAAACAGCAAAATAATGATTGTAAAATGATAAAATTAATTATTACGTTACCCAGTAACACTGTATAGATCTGCAAGTTGGTAGAGAATATCTATTTCCAGTGGTGTAATTTGTCCAAAGCGGATTGCAGAGTGGGTAAATTCCTCTGGATTTAAAAGGGAAA